ACCTGATGCATGCAGATTCTTGTACTGCTGTCTAGCTTCGCCTTGTGTGCTCATTATCTCCCCTCGCACTTGTCCCTCCAGCTGGCAGCGGAAACTGCGCACGAGACGTCAGCGTGACGCTCGTGTTATAGCCATGGATGATTGACGGTGTTATAGTCATGGATTGAATGACCGCGTGTTATAGTCATGGATGAATGACCGCGTGTTTATAGTCATGGATGAATGACCGCGGTGTTATAGCCAATGGATGATATGACCCGCGTGTTATGTGATGGATGAAATGACCGCGTGTTATAGTATACGGATGAATGACCGGTGTATAGTCTGGATGAATGACGCGCGTGTTAAGCGCATTGGATGAATGACCGCGTGTTATAGCCATGGATGAATGAGCGCGTGTTCTAGTATGGATGAATACCGCGTGTTATAGTCATGGATGAATGACCGCGTGTTATAGTCAATGGATGAATGACCGCGTGTTATACGTCAGTGGATTCGAAGTGACTGCGTGTTATAAGTACATGGATGAATGACGCGTGTGTTTATAAGCCATGGATGACATGACCGCGTGGTTTACGTAGATGCAGCTGACGTGTGTTATAGCCATGGATGAATGACGCGCGTGTTATAGTCATGGATGAATGACCGCGTGTTTTATAGTCATTGGTGAATGCCGGTGTGTTATAGTCCATGGATGAATGACCGGCGTGTTATAAGTCATGGATGCAATGACTGGAGCGTGTTATAGTCATTGGTGAATGACCGTGTGTTATAGCCATGGATGAAGTGCGGCGTGTATAGTCATGGACTGAATGACCGCGTGTTATAGGCATGGATGAAATGACGCGTGTTACTAGCCATGGATGAATGACCGCGTGTTAATCATGGATGTAATGACCGGTGTTATAGCAATGAAGATGAGGCGTGTTTATAGTCATGATGAATGACCGCGTGTTATAGTCCATGGATGAATGACCGCGTGTTATAGCATGGATGATATGACCGCGTGTTATAGTCAATGGATGAATGACCGGTGTTATAGGCCATGGATGAATGACCACGTGTTATAGGCATGAATGAATGACGCGTGTTATAGTCATGGATGAATGACGCGCGTGTTTATAGTCATGGATGATGAGCGTGTTATGCCATGGATGATTGACCGCGTGTTATAGTATGGATGAATGACGCGTGTTATACCATGGATGAATGAGCGCGTGTTATACGCCGATGCATGAATGACTGCGTGTTATAGCCATGGATAAATGACCGCGTGTTATAGTCATGGATGGAATGACCGCACGTGTTATAGTCATGGATGATGACCGTGTGTTATAGTCATGGATTGAATGACGCGTTTATAGTTATGGATGATACGCGTGTTTAGGCATGGATAATGACCGCGTGTTTATAGACGTGCGATGTAATGACCGCGTGTTTATAGGCCCATGGATGATGATCGCGTGTTATAGCGCATGGATGAATGCCGCGCGTGTTATCGCCATGATGAATGACGTGTGTTATAGCCATGAATGACATGCCTGCGTGTTATAGCCATGGATGAATGACCGGGTGTTATAGCCATGGATCGAATGACCGCGTGTTATAGACGTGGATTGAATGACCGGGTGTTATAGTCCTGGATGAATGACCGCGTGCTATACGTCATGGGATGAATGACCGCGTGTTTATAGCCATTGAATGAATGACCGCGTGTTATTAGCGCATGGATGAATGACCGGTGTTATAGCATGGAATGAATCGCGCGCGTGTTTCTAGCCATGGATGAATGACGGCGGGTTTAGCGCATGGAGTAATGACCGCGTGTTATGCCATGAATGAACTGACGGCGGCAGGTTTATAGTCATGGCTGAATGACCGCGTGTTAATAGTCCATGATGCATGACGTGGTGTTATAGCCATGGATGCAATGACCGTGTGTTATAGCTCATGATCGAATGACGCGTGTAATTAATAGCCATGGATGAATGACCGCGTGTTATAGCCATGGATGATGACCGCGTGTTTTATAGCCCATGAATGAATGACGCGTGTTATAGTCATAGGATGAATGACCGGTGTTATAGTCATGGATGAATGCGGCGTGTTATGAGCATGGATGAATGACGCGCGTGTTATAGTCGAATGAATGAATGACGGCGCGTGTTATATGCCATCGGATGAATGACCACGTGTTATAGCCAATGAATGATGACCGCGTGTTATAGTCTCATGGATTAATGGACCGGTGTTATAGTCCATGGATGAATGCCCGGCGTGTTTATAGCCGATGGATTGGAATGACCGCGCTGTTATTAGTCATGGTGAATGACCGCGTGTTATAAACCATGGATGAATGACCGCGTGTTATTAGCAATGCACTGAATGACTGCGTGTATAGCCATGGATTAAACTGACCGCGTGTTATAAGTCATGGATGAATGACCTCGCGTGTTATAGTCATCGGATGAATGACGCGGTGTTTATAGTCATGGATGAATGACCGCGGTGTTATAGTTTACTCGGATGATGACGGCGCGGTGTTATAGCCATGGATTGAATGCCGCGTGTTTATAGACGTGGAATGAATGACCGGCGTGTTATAGCCATGGATGAATGACCGGTTGTTATAGGCCATGGATGATATGACCGCGTGTTATGAGCATGGATGAATGACGCGTGTGTTTACTAGCCATGCATGAATGCTGGTGTTATACCATGGGATGAATGACCGCTGTTATAGCGCATGATGAATGACGCGCGTGTTATATGACGGGATGAATGACCGGTGTTAATAGTCATGGATAATGACCGCGGCTATAGTCATTGGAATGAATACCGCGTGTATACTCATGAATGCATGACCGCGTGTTATAGCCATGGATGAATGACCGCGTGTTATAGCCATGGATTGCATGACGCGGTCGTTATACGATGGACTGAATGAGCGGGGTTATGCCATGATGATGACCGCGTGTTATAGCCATGAATGAATGACGCGCGTGTTATAGTCCTGGCTGAATGACCGCGTGTATATATGTCATGATGAGATGACGCGCGTGTTTAGCCATGGATGAATGACGTGTGTTATAGCCATGGTATGAATGACGTGTGTTATTAGCCATGGAATGAATGCGCGAGCGTGTTGATAGCCAATGGATTGAATGATAACACGCGGTCAATGTGTTATAGCCATGGATGAATGACCGCGTGTTATAGCCATGGATGAATGACCGCGTGTTATAGCCATGGATGAATGACCGCGTGTTATAGCCATGGATGAATGACCGCGTGTTATAGCCATGCATGAAGCGGTCATTCATCCACGTCTATAACACGCGGTCATTCATCCATGGCTATAACACGCGGTCATTCATCCATAACTATAACACGCGGTCATTCATCCATGACTATAACACGCGGTCATTCATCCATGACTATAACACGCGGTCATTCATCCATGACTATAACACGCGGTCATTTATCCATGGCTATAACACGCAGTCATTCATGCATGGCTATAACACGCGGTCATTCATCCATGGTTATGAATGACCGCGTGTTGTGTTATAGTCATGGATGCGGTCATTCATCCATGACTATAACACGCGGTCATTGGCTATAACACGCGGTCATTCATCCATGACTATAACACGCGGTCATTCATCATTCATCCATGACTATGAATGACCGCGTGTTGTGTTATAGTCATGGATGAGGTCACGCTGACGTCGTGCGCGTTTTTGCCGCTGCAGCTGGAGGACAAGTGCGAGGCGGAGATGAATGAGCACAAGGCGAAGCTAGACAGTGAGTACAAGAATCTGATGCATCAGTTCTACAAGGACCTGGAGAAGCTGCAGATGAAGCATCAGATGGAGCTGGAGAAACGAGTAAGCGCCCGCCGATCGCGAGAGCGCTCCCTGTTAGGTGGAGCCACCGCTGTCAGAAACAAAATCAGCCCTAACGTTAGCCTTAGCGTTGACTTTTTTTCTGTCGACAGAAGTCCATTTTTCGTAAAGTTATGAAGTTTAGTAGGATTTTTTCATTCTCGTAATTAACTTTGTGCGATGTTTCTGTCAATGGTGTAGGAGAAAAACTTAATGTTAACATTAGTGTTACGAGTAATTTTGTTTCTGGTAATGGGCCCCCGGGGTAGCGACGGGGCAAGAGCAGCCAGGAGTAAAAAGTGGGAGAAGCAGATGGAGGCGAGAAGGCAGAGGGGTGCGAGAAGAATTGATGAGAGGGAAATGGGGGAGGGGAGGGGGAGGGGGATTACATATGTTAGGTGGCAAACCGTAAATAGTCGAATAGGATATAATACCAAGCTGGAGAAGAGCAATGTCACTGCAACAATGGTGATTTCAGCAAATACGTGAACAAATTGGTTGAAAAAACCGTAAATCTGGAAACCAAAACTACGATTATAACGCTAATGCTAGTTCTAATCTTGTTTTAACTGGGCATTTACAGATAAAGCAGAACCAGGCGCTGGAGAAGAAGCTACACAAACAAATCATGTGTCAGCAGGATGAAGACATCAAGCGATTTCTCCAGTGTCAGAAACGCGAGTACAAGATCAAGAAAGACCTCTTCAAGCAGGTAAGCAAGTTTCACACACAGCGATACAACGATTGCTGTCGTGAGACGGCGCGCAAGAATTAAAACCGGAGGCCTCTTTTAGCAGCGGTATAGAACAAGTGCACAGGTGCAATTCATGCTTCTTATGTATAAAATAATATATATTATACTAGCTGCGGGTACCCGCTGCGCTGGGTAAAATCGTGCTACTAATTCATACTACTATACTAATAATGACACAGGTAGGAACATTGGGTAAACATCGACAATGACATTGCCACCAACTATCAAATATTTAGAAGATCGGTCTAAATAAGAGTAATAAGTCATGGGGAAAAACTGTTACGTACTGACATTTATATGACCAGGCACACCCCCAACTTAGAACACCTTGAGACGATAATATTAATCGTAATATGGCTGATAGGGTCCTATGTCCCCCAGGTATACCGCGGAACGCTACCCTGGTGGCTATTTGATAGAGTTAGGTGGTTAGGGTTCGGCGTTGGGGTTAGGGAGTAGCGCGTAGGCGACTTCCTAGATCGTTAGTGGAAGTAGGCGAAGGTACGGTCCGGCATATTAGATAGCTACCAGGCGTACGTATTCCGGTAGTAACCCCACCGTAGCCAGGCGTACCAGTCCCGCAGTATCCCGCGGGGGGGGGGGGGGACACAGAGCCTCTGAGCAAGTAAGATGGAGTAAATGAAAAATAGTATTGTTATATAACATGCATGTCGAATGGGTTGGACTTTTCCGTTTCAAAAACTTGATAAACAATGTTTTTCGTGTTATTCTTCTGTGCAAATATGTAGAGAGTTCGTGCGTATCCAACTGTTAAGCGCTCCCCACGTACAGCTATCCATTGTGAGATCGTACGCCCGAATAAAAGACAATTCCATATATAGTATAGCATAGAGACAGGCCAGCGAGTGCGGTCTCGGTCCACTGGATAGTGTCTAGTGAATGCTTGCGTGCAACCATGCACATTGAAATAAGAAATTTGTGTATTGAATCAGATAAATGCAAAGCTTGTGAATGTAACAATGCATTCTCAGATGCGTAAGCATCTGCAAAGCCGTAAACTGGTGAACTGAGAGTGAGTAGTACCTCTGATACTGTCGTGCTTTATGCGTCGGTTTTAGTTTCGATTCGGTTTCGTTTCACAATACAGCAGCTGATGAGCCATTCATGACGAGTGAGGGCAGAAAATCAATATGTCATAGGCTGTGCTGACCATTGTGTGAAGATTGCCGAATTGAGGGGTTTTTCACGATTTTTTCGGCGAGTTTGACGGGTTTGACAGGTTTGTTTTCAGCTACGAACACGCCCGGGGTATAAGCAGATTGGCCCTGTGAAAATTGCATCCAGGATCGTTGGGCGGGCTTGACCGCCTATAGGGAAGATACATACATACATACATACATACATACATACATACATACGAACTCAAATATATATTAGATAGTATATATATATAATATTGCAAAAAAATAAAGCTCGCTGTTTCCAATCGTCCCGCCAACCGTCGACGAACGACGATATGTGAGACGCGCGAACGAACGCCGTGACCGTCGCGCATTGTCACGCGTCCCCGACCTCTCTCCGCAGGAGCTGAACTCTGAGCTGCCGAAGCGCGAGCGCGACGACCGGCTGCTGCACCACAAGGGGGCGCTGCACCAGATGCAGACGGATGCCGAGCAGCAGAAGCGCGTCGACCACAAGAAGTACATGAACCTTGAGGTTCGCAAGTTCCGGCGGCGGAAGCTGCTGCAGTACCACGAGCTCGAGCAGCAGCTGCTGAAGGAGGTAGGTGGAGCGGTGGGGGAGGGGCGAGAGCGCCGCGTGGGTAGTCGCGCGCCTGGGGGGGGGGCAAGCTGCTGCAGTACCACGAGCTCGAGCAGCAGCTGCTGAAGGAGGTAGGTGGAGCGGTGGGGGGAGGTAATATACAAAAAGTTGCGTAAAGTCGGTGCTGGTTGTGTTGCATATAAAATTTGTGTAGCGCATGAAGGTGAAGGTCATGCGGCGTGAAACGGTTGTGTTTACGCGTAAACATCCCGTAGCAGTCTCATCGCCACCTAGTCCGACTCGCGCGACGCCCCCTCCTTTTTCGATCGTTGCCACGGCGACGTCTGACACTCCGATTGCCGGCAGGACCTGGCGAAGCGGGAGTCGCAGCTGCGGCAGACGCACACGATGCTGCTGAACCACCACGACTCGACGATGCGGCTCGAGTACCGGCACGTGCAGAACATCCACCACCGGCGCGAGGAGCTGATGAAGAAACAGCACAGCACAGAGCGCGACAACCAGGTGCGCTACAACCAGCACGCCGAGCGCGAGCTCAAGAAGAAGCACGCACTCGAGACGAAGCAGCATCCGAAGAGCTTACGGGTAGGTAGCGACGCGACATGCCGTCGCCGTGCGTTAATAGTTAACAATAGTAATAGTAGTGGTAGAAATCATAATAATGATAATAATGGTGGTAATTAAAATAATAGTCATAATAATAATAATGGTAATTAAAATACTAATAGTAATTATCGTGGTAATATTAATAATAAAAATAGTAATTAAAATAATAATAGTAATAATAGTGGTAATAATAATGACAATAATCATCTTTTTTTTATTTCTGATCTTGATCTTTGATGTTCGTATGGTGTAATCTATTGTTTATCTATCCTTTATCTCTGACCTTGCCCTTTGACTTTCATCCGACCTCGCAGGCGAAGGAGTTCCAGATCAGGAAGCAGTTCCGAGACGCGGTCGCGACGCAGACGAAGCAGTACAAGGCGTTCAAGTCGCAGCTGCTGCAGACGACGCCCAAGGATGAGCGCAAGGCCATCTGCAAGAAGCTGAAGGAGGATAAGATGCGCAAGCTAGCGCTGCTCGCCGAGCAGTACGAGAGCACGATCGCCGAGATGCTGCAGACGCAGACGGTGGGTGCCACGGCAACGATGTTTAAAACATCAGCATCCCTCTCTCAATAACATTCTGACAACCAACGAGAGAGAAGAGAGAGAGAGATAGAGAGTGCGAGAGCGAGAGAGAGTGCGAGAGCGAGAGGGAGAGCGCAAGAGCGAGCGAGAGTGAGAGGGAGCGAGAGAGTGAGTGCGACAGCGAGAGGGAGAGTGAGAGAGAGAATATCTCTGATTCGTCAGCATCCTCGTCTCTCTTTTGCAGGTGAAGCTGGATGAAGCCCAGCTGGTGGAGGTGCGCGTGCTGAAGGAGAAGCTGTCGCAGGAGATGGAGTTGCTGCTCGCCTACCAGAGCAAGGTGAAGATGCAGCTAGAGGCGCAGCATCAGCGGGAGAGGCGGGAGCTGGAGGAGCGCGTGTCCACGCGCAGGGCCCTCCTCGAACAGAAGGTAACAATCAAGTCCTGGAGCCCGTTGTCAGAAACAAAATTAGTCATAACATTAGTCTTAACTTTTTCTCTTAGACCGTTGACAGAAACGCTGCGAAGTTACCTGAATGAAAAATCAGGTAGCAGATTTCCTCATAACAATACGAAACAAAGCGCTGTCGACGGTCTACGAGAAAATGTTAGTGTTAAGACTAATGTTAAGACTATTTTGTTTCTGACAACGGGTCCCAGATGTTGAACCTCGTGATGCTTTACTTACTGTTAAAGTTGCTAAAGTTAAGTTGCCATTTATGTCTTGATGCATCTCTATCCATCTACCTATATATATATATCAAGAGCTAATAAATACCAAGAGTGTACAACGGGAAAACGGGAAAATAGTGCTATTTCACGTCAATATTATTTTACTTTGTATGCGGTTCTAGACTAAGTTTATGGTATTGCGTTAAGCAGCATTCTTTACTTTCTAAAATAAGACCAACCGCTTGTCTCTACGATACTCCCAGGCCGGAATATTGGAGCGTAATCATGCCTCCCACAGGCCTCACGCCGCCTCGCATCCACAATATTCACTATCCTGCTCACCTTTTGCGGGTCTGGCTATCGTTTTCCGTCGTTGCTTGGAGTGCTGATAATTGATGTCACATGCCCAAATTTGGTACTATTACTACACCATATAGTAACTGAGCTACGTTGTAGAGACCTTATTTAGAAAACATTGCCGGCTCCATCATGACGTCATTAGCCGTGCTAGGAAAGATAATGGGAGATAAGGGCATAGGCGATGCCCTCGAAAGTCACCGATGATAACTGAAACGCCGTTCATTCATAAAGTTATCGCATAAAAAACCGAACTCTCATGAAGCGACTTTCCTAACCCGCAAAAGGCGAGAAGGATAGTGAATATTTTGGATGCGAGGCGCCGAGAGGTCATGTGGGTGGCAAAGTTTACGAGCCAATATCTCAGCCTAGTATCGTATTGACAAGCGGTTGGTCTTGTTTTAGAGAGCAAAGAATTCTGCTTAATGCAATACCATAAAATTATTCTAGACTCGCTGGCAAAGTAGAATAATATTGCCGTGAAATAGCACTATTTTCCCGTTTTTCCGTTGTACACTCTAGGTATTTATTAGCTCTTGATATATATATATACACACACTTATATATCTGTATCCTGGCATGCTGTTATCATCACCTATCATAACCGCAGTGACCGCATCTTACCCCCCCCCCCCCCCCCCAGCCGCTATTGTGTTGATGTTCTATTGTTCACCGCCGTTCGTAACCGCGGCAACATCCACCTCTCTCTCTCGCGCATTGCAGATGGGCGAGGAGTCACTGCAGTTCAACGCCGAGCGATCGGAGAAGATACGGCAGCTGCACAACCGGCAGAGTCGCGAGATCGAGGCGTTCGATCTGGAGAGTGAGCGTCTCGGCTTCCGCATCCTCGACCTGACCGAGCCGCCGCAGGAGTACCTGCAGGAGGACGACGCATCGCTGTCCGGTAGCCTGCTTAGCCTCAGCCTCTCGCACAGCTCCAGTAGCAACTCGTTCTCCCAGCAGACGGCGCTATAGTGCAGCAGCGACAGGGCAACGGGGGTGGGTGCGCACGCCGCGCGAGATAGTGCCGGCGATCGCAGGACGCGGCGGCGGCTATCAGTCGGTTGCGCGAGTTTTTCAGGGTAGGTGGCGCCGGTGTCTCGCATTGTCCTCGTGGGAGGGGGAGTTTCATAGTCGGCGAGCAGCGCGCGTCGAGTTTAGATGACCGCGGCCGGCGATCGATGCTAGAGCGCGCGACCGTTCGCGATACCATGCATAGGCAATTCTGCTCGCAGTCGATCGGCGGTTGGCGCGCGTTGTTTCCGGCGGCGGGTGTTCGGAACATGTGCGTTAGTTTGATGTGTTCAGCGGCAGAACGAATCTTTGCCGCGTGTCGTGTCGATTCCCGGCGGTCGGGAAGTGAGGCGGCGGCGAAGCGACGTCGTGCCACTAGCCGCGATTTTTGTGCGCCGAAACTTGCCAAAGGTCAAAGGTCAGAGGTTGAAGTTTTGATGGGGGCCGAGGCAGAGTTTGGGGATGGCTATTCTGAGAATGTTATCAACGATGTGCTTTTAAGCGAGCGGTTTTCTTCTTCTTCTGGTTTTGCTTTTTTTCTTGTAAAAATGTGTTCGTATTTATACCGCTGAACATGAGAGTTATAGACCCATCACCCCACACTTCATCCTCACTGATAAATTACTGTTCGCTGCTCACTCTGTGCACAGAGGGCAGATGCAACTCGCAACTCTTAAACATTTGCGATCGTGTGTAGGGAGAAGCAGGGTAATAGTCACTACTCTATAACTAAAGATCTTCACTCGGAGCAGGCTAGTAGCAGTTTTGAAAAGGGGCAATCTAAAAAAAGAGCATTGAGCTTTCGCGTGAAGTCACCAACAAATCAGAAAGCCCCAATACTAGGGATCCACTTTTCGACAGTTCCACACTACGCGCAGGATTTCGCAGTGGAACTCGTCTGCTCGGCAGTATAAACATCGCTGTAACCATGGCGATTGAGTAGCGGAGCCGCAGAGCTGACGGCTTTGATGTATCACCGCATGGCGCGTACCTCGTTCTCCTACTCTTAGATCAGTACACACAACCAATTATTGCTCTGTGTTATTTCCCAAACTATCCCCGTACCGTCTCTCTCCTAGTTGTGCTTGATTATCGTTTGTTTTTTCGACAGTGCTCTTTTGTTTGAGGCGAGACTTGACTGCCTTTTGTGTCTCTTCTTTGCAGACCTGTGCCTGAATCGAAGTTGTAGCTCCTTATCGTGCCAGTGTCTGGATGTGTAGGTGAGAGAGAGTGAGAGAGATGGCGGTATTGTGGTTTCTTTTGTGTGTGGCTGCTGTCTGGCCGTCCAACTAGATTCGAATCTTATTGGTTGCTTTATTTTTCGTGTCGCTCCGTCTAGCTCTGCGATTGGGTGGTGCGCTATACTGGTCCCATCTTCTTGGCTTTCTTACTGCATGATCCTGAACGGCACCTTGTGATTAGTTGATGGCTGAGTGGACACGATTTCGTGGTCTGCCCTGTTGCATGTAACCTCATTGTCTACCTGTGATTGGATAAACGATTGTGCAGCTGCTAATCCGATTGGTTTATGGTAGTGCTGGTGCATCTGCGCGGTGATTGGTTAATCTCTGTGCAACCTCGCTCGCTGATTGGCTGATTGCACTGCGTTGGCTTGCAGACGCAGGCCTGCCGTGGCAACTAACAGCTATCAGCCGTTGCCAGGGTGAGCAGCAGCATCGCTCTACGTGTGCGTGGCGGTGTTGTCGTCTGCGGAGAGATCCAGGCTGTAGGTTGGCATCCTACCTTAAAGGCATGGCACCTTGGTTCTGTTGGGGTGGTTGTGATGTGGTCCGCTAATGCGCGTCGCGTTGTTTGTAAGCTCCTGCACGCGCAACTGCAAGTTGTCATCGCTCCAGTGTTTTTAGCAGCGTTCTACATGCGAGAGCGTAGTTTGTTTCCATTAAGCGTTTATCGCGGCAAAGCGTGCTGAGTTCACTGGGTTTTCGCTTCAGAGAGGCACTTCACTGCATATACATTTCTTCATCGTAGTTACTCTGTGAGCAGCGAGTGAACAGTGCATAATAATGCTATGCTTTTCCACCAGGTGTCCATGGTTGACCTTCAACTGTTGTGAGTTTTTTTTAACGTGTTGTCACGTGCACAGCACACACTGCGCGTGTCAACTACTACTGTTGCACTATACTGTCTCACTACTGAACTACAAGGGAAAACAAACGAGTATATATGTGATAGTGCAATCGCGAAGTTGTGTCAAGTAACTTCTCGAGTGGATTAATATAGCAGGCAGATCGGACTAAAAGTACGGGGTGTCGGGGCAATATGCAATCAACTGACCCTCCCCCAGGATTTGCCTCTAGTTTTTTTCATGGCCTCTCTATCCGCAAGTTTGGTCGACAATGCGGCCGCATCGCGGCAGTTGTCGTGTGTTGATGTCCATCGCCGTTCAAAGCTGTGCGAGTCGAAACTGATGGGTGGATCGAAATCGATTACAATCGTATCAAATGTGTTCAGGATTGACCTGCCCCGCCCTCTGTCATCAGTGTGTAGTGGTTCAGAGCACTCGGGCGTGTGATCACCCACCCGCAAGAAACGGAAGTTTTTCGAAATCGAAATAAAAGAGACGTTCATTATCGTATTTATCGGATTTCAGGTTGAGAGCGGGTTTCTAGGCACTCGCTCGTGCAAATTATCTACTGCTGGTGTGGAGAGATGTTGGACTTCTCGTGAAGACACTTCTTCTTCGCCTTTGCACCCTCTCCTGGTGGCTTTAGAGGTGGTAGAACAGTCTTATAAGGTCAGAGTTGTCATGCTGCGAGGCGCGGGTTGCGCGGCTGTGCAGGTGCTGCCCCCTACCACAGCTTCACTTGTTCGTTTGTAACCTGGCTGTTGCGAGCATGCAAACCCCTCTGAGCAGTAGAGCCCGTGTGTCGACAGGCGCAGCGACCGGCGCAGCAACAATGGTCTTCAGAGGAGTGCCATATCGCCACTGGAGGAAGACGGGTTGCCGTAGCGACGCGATCGCAGCGACGGGCTGCCGCGTAGCGTCGCGCGCGTAGCACAAGCGTCTGCTCGTCTGCTCGTCTGCCAACGTGATTAAAAACGATTCCAGATTGTAACGTGCCGTGTGAAATGTGACCGGGGGGGTCAACAATTCGATAAACTCGATTATCCCTCGTCGAGGCGAGGCGACTTTGGGGGGGGGGTACCGCCCGACGGGTTCCTCCAGTCAACGCGCGCCTACGGAAACAGGTGAACGAAGTGATTATGATTTTAAATGAGTTACGGAGCGGTGGTGTGTCACGGGGTTGCCTGTGGCTAGCGCGGATAGAGTGTGCTGGCAAATGTGACGCGAAGTCGATAGTTATTCATTTTTTTAAAGCGAATATGAAGCCAATGGATTTCCTCCAGTGGCGCTCTCTGTTGTGTAATTATGTAAATAGCTGTTCCCACGCTAAAATCATGGCAGTGCTGATCTGTTCGATATTCGTTTCTTTGATGATTTTTTTTGCCAGCCAGAGTTGACAAGCAAACGTTGTGCTTTGTAATATATGTTGAAATCCGCCACGTTGGCGCGTCCTCCAGGGGGCGTGACGATGGTACGTGGCTACAGTCGGCTGTACGTGCCAGCGCACTACTGCCCGTTGGTAGGGTGTGTTCAAGTGCATTCATTCAGTGTTAACGTAAACGCATTTGTAGAGAACATTTTGCAGGAAAGTTTGTATATACAAAAGTTGTGCACGCCCATACCGTATATCGTAGGGGAATATAATGTATTTAACACATTGGTCACATTTTGTGTGACCACCATGGTGAATGTAAGATCAAAAGTTGAACATAAACATGGGCAAAAACTTAACTGTAATTGGTATAAAACTATATCTGTAATATTAAACTAATAAATTTTTACGCTTAAGCTATGTGTTTCTTGTTTTGTTGTAAGGTTATTGTCCTTTGTTCCTTTCCAAACCACCGCATGTCTACCCCTCACACGCTAGCTCGCACCCACACATCCACGCATCCTCACAGTCGGCTACTAAATGGCTTTCCTATTAAATTTAATTGCTTAACAGTTGAGTATGCACACTAAGTCGGTTCGTATGGCGTTTTAAACATTTTTTAGTAGGTATATAAATAATATAACGTCCGATTTGGCATCATTCTCTTGGAGTATGCGATTTAAAAAATTAACAGGTGTGTACAGTATGAGCATTACTAAGCATAAATATCCCGCAACGGTATATGCAAGTCTATTCGTAGTATTATATTTGACTATCAGTCCATTTAATCGATCTAAATACAGTCAATAAACGCAATTATTTTTATTCACGATGGATTTTTATACTTATGCAATCCGTTGTTATAGACCTATGTGACGCGCGCATGTAAATACGTTTGTATATTATATATATATATATATATATATATATATATATATATATATATGAAACGCGTTTATAAAGGCGGTGGTATACGTCTCTGTATATATACGCCTCTTGGATATATTGATCATGAGCGAGGTACGCGCGTCGTAAACCTGCTCCGTCCCCAGGCTGCCACGATGGCTGAACATCATTACTGCGGCTCTATCAGATAGCAACGCGTTAAATCCGATTTCGTCAGCATAATCGACATCGTCAGCGGCGTCATCATCGTCAGCCTGACTGGCACCAACGCCGTGCCCGTGGCCGTTATCGACATTGCCATCAGTAGCAGTGTCGTCATCATCATCATCATTATCATCATCATCATCATTCTTCGTCATCATCATCATCAATGTCATCATCATTACCGCGACCGACAACCGTCATCATCATCATCATCATTACAGCTACCATCATCGTCGGTATCATCATCATTATCATCATCCTCATCATCATCATTATCATCATCATCAGCACCGTCATCATTATATCATTATCATCAACATCATCATCATCATTACTCAAAGTTTGAAACATAACATGGTCGTATAGATTTGTTGCCGCGTGTGCGTTCGGCAGTTTAGGGAATATAGTTCGCAAGCGTTAACAGAAGGGGGAGCAGTTATTTTCTGGACGCGGGATTTTGGACCATTTCTGGAAACCGGGAAATACGGGATATATTTTTCGCGATTCGGGAATAGAAGTCAGTCGGGAGGTGCAGTGGCGGATCCAGGATTTCAAGGAGGTGTGTGAGAAACAGGCGGGGGGCATGGGGGGTCCTCCCCCCAAAATTTTTAAAAATGTAGATAGCAGGAGATAGTATTTGAGGCACTTTTGAGTACATGTACAGACTTCATTCTTACTACGACAATTCTCTTTTTAGCAGAACAATTCTTGCGCTTGCAGCGCGGCATTGATTGATGCAGGCCTACAGGGTGGGGGCATTGTTTTAAGTCGCGTTCATTATTGAATATGTAGGGGGTGACCACCGCTGGGATGAGGGCGACAGCAAAACTCTTTCTTGGAATTGTGAAAAAAGCTGCAAAGGGGTTGTAACCTGCTTTGCCACTCAATTACATAATTTAACCCATGCATCAGGTGCCGTTTTGTACAGCCGCGCGTATACTTCGCAATAATTCATTGGTATAAATGTAAAAATATTGTTAGTCCAACAGAGGGGTGTGGCTAGCCACCCAATCCCCCAAAAAAAATCCGCCACTGAGGCGGGAAAACAGTAATTGCGATCCTGAATAACCGAGAACTAGAAAATCGTACATTTTTTAACCTGGAACACTGCGAATGCATCCCGCCACCGTTTCACTTCTTTATGTGCGACTGTGCCAGATATTTGCTGCAGGAAAGATAGGCACGCTTCAGCCTATACACTCGTTTTACAATGCACGCGGTTGTACGGAAAATTACACCAATGATGGTAATTGAATAAGATGATGCCAATTACCATCATTATCATCATTCCCGTCATCATCATCCCCATCATCATCATTATCATCATCATCATCATCATCATCATTATCATCATCATCATCATCATCATCACCATCGTCATCCCTTCGCCACCCTCCATCATTATCATTATCATCATTGCGGCCATGTGTAATCGTACAATACTAATGAGAGCTGTACACTGACTTATTCCGCACCGGAGTTTGACTGAATCGGTTAAATGAATTTATGCGCGGATCTTGCTCTCGTGGTGTTACAAACGTAAAGATAAGTGTATATTATAAATATAAATATAAATATATATTGAACATACAGGTCCGTAGCCAGGGGGGGTTCGGGGGTTCGAACGAACCCCCCCCCCCGAGCCCCCCCGGCCAAAATTTTTTTTTGAAATTGCAAGAATTTCACCTCAGGTCGCTCCATTTTAGTGTAATAATTTGGAAAATCTCTATCGTGCAGGAGGGTGAACATGTGAACACCCCCTCCCACACCCTCCCCCGCTCGGTCGCTTGGCTCCTCGCCTGGTCGCTTCGCGCCCGAGCAGGGGCGTGTACAGGGGGGGGTCCAGGGAAGTCCAGCCCCCCCTTCGCGTGCTCGCAACTTTGGTTACGGTTAGACCCCCCTGGTACAAATCCTGTACACGCCCCTGCCGAGCAAATTGCCAACATTTGAAAAACGAACCCCCAATATAAAGCTGGCTACGGGCTTACATATATATACATATATACATATTAGAAGTAGATAATAGGGTCCTATTATCTACTCCTATTCCCTATTATCTACTTCTGATATATATATATATATAAATATATAATATATAAATGTATATTAATATATTAATATACGTAATATATAACGTAAAAATTATAACTGGTGCCACGAGATTTACTGTGTAATAGCACATGATATGCAACAATCGTATGCAGTTGTAGTCCTTAGACATTTCGTTTCTTGAAACTTGTTAATAATAAGATGCGAAATACTATTCGCCGATCAACCATTGGAACTACTAACTATCTGTCTTGACCCTTTCACGCGTGGGCGCTCGATCCATTTCTATAGAAGCGGCAAACAGGTACGTTCACATGCACGAACGCACACAGGCACGCACGAACGCACACAGGCACGCACGAACGCACACAGGCACGCACGCATGTAGCACCCACACACACCACACAGCACGCATGTAGCACCAGACACACAGGCACGCATGCCAGCACCCACACACACAAACGCATGTAGCACCCACGGCACACACACAGGTACGCATGTTAGCACCCACAATAAGGTACGCATGTTAGCACACACACACAGGTACGCTGTGCACCCAAACGCACAGGCACGCATGCAGCACCCACACACACGGCACGCATGTAGACCCACACACACAGGTACGCGCTGTAGCACCCACACAGGTATACGTATGTAGCACCCACACACACAGCGTACGCAATGTAGCACCCACAACACAGGTACGCATGTAGCACTCACACACACAGGTACGCATGTAGCACCCACACAACAGGTACGCATGTAGCCCACTCCACACACACACGTACGCATGTAGCACTCACACCAACACAGGCACGCATGCAGCACCACAACACAGGTACGCATGTAGCACCCACACACACAGGCACGCATGTTGCACCCACACCACACAGGCACGCATGTAGCACCCACACACACAGGTATACGTATGTAGCCACCCACACACACAGGTACGCATGTGGCACCAACACACACAGGCACGCATGTAGCACTCACACACACATGTACGCATGTAGCACCCACACACACATGCAGGTACGCATGTAGCCTCGCACACACAGGTACGCATGTAGCACCCACACACACAGGCACGCATGTACACTCACACACACAGGTACGCATGTACCACTCACACACACAGGCACGCACGTAGCACCCACTCACACAGGCACGCATGGAGCACCCACACACACAGTTACGCATGTAGCACTCACACACACAGACACGCATGTAGCACTCACACACACAGTTACGCATGCAGCACCACACACACATGCAGGTTACGCATGTAACACTCAACACACACAGACACGCATGTAGATTCACACACACAGGTACGCATGGTAGCACCCACCACACACAGGTACGCATGTAGCACCCACACAGTAGCATGTAGCACCCACACACCACAGGCACGCATGCAGCACCCACACACACAGGTACGCATGTAGCACTCACACACACAGGCACGCATGTAGCACCCACACACAGGCTGAGGCACGCATGAGCCCACAACCACAGGTACGCATGTAAGCACCCACACACACAGGCACGCATGCAGCACCCACACACACAGGTACGCATGTAGCACTCACACACACAGCTAGGCACGCATGCAGCACTTACACACACAGGCACGCACACGCAGACACTGGCACACACACGCAAATACGCAGCACGCACGCACGCACGCACGCACGCACGCACGCACGGACGCGCGCACTTTAAGTGTAATATATAGATACAATTGGAGGTTTGTCTTCTAACTGTGTCTATGAACGTGTGCACGTTCTCTGCGCGCTAGACACATATGCACATGCAGCGAGGAGGGCAGAGCGGAAGGGAAAGACGCACACACACGCACGTTCGCTTGTCGGCACGCTCGCACGCACGCACGCACGCACGCACGCACGCACACACACACATATATATATATATATATCAAGAGTACATAATAGAGATCTATATTATGTAATCTTGATATATATATATATATATACTCGCCTTTCTCCGTTTCTTTCCCTTGCTCACTTCCTTACTCCCTTCTCGCGGATAGTATCGTCCACGGCATCAGTCGCACGGTGAAAAGTTTGCCAGCCAAATGGCGGTATTTCACCCCCCTCCGAGGCACAAAATGTGAAATTACGCCTATAATACGCGCGCACGCGCGCTTGCGAGCATACCCGCGTGTGCGCGTCCGATCGCGTGTGTGTATGTGTGTTTTTGTGACTGTAAAAACGCGTATTATCGCCGTAAATCCACTTTTTGTGCAATTTATGGGGGAAAAAGTTCGGGCCGGAACACAAGCATTTTTCTCGTGAAAATTTTTCATTAATTTGGAGGAGGGGGGAGTAAAGGACTGAGGGAAAGGGAGAGTGAAGGAGGTAGAAGGAAAGAGGAGAGAAAAGAGGGAGGGGCACACACACACACACACACGCACGCACGCACGCACGCACGCACACCACCCACATACGCACACGCACACGCACACGCACACGCACACGCACACGCACACGCACACACCCAGGGGGGGGGCACTCCATATATATTGCATCAGGAAGTGTATCAGGAGGACTCTGCTTGCATGGTAGGTATGCTGCCGCGGGAGAGAACCCCCTTTTCCCTAAACTTCCGTTTCTAGTGCATCGCATTTTTAAGAATATCTTGTTCCAGAGCATCACAAGTTTACATTTTGAACATAGCCAGTTTTCCCACATTCAACAAACATTAGTTCCAAAGACCCCCATTTTCAGGTCTGAGTTAGTTCCAGAGCCCTCATTTTTGACTTCGCAGTGGCACTTACCTACATAATGTGGGGTGAGTGCTCCCCCCCCCGGGACACACACACGGACACACGCACGCACACACACGCACGCACGTACGCACGCACGAGTACACGCGCACGATATATTTCTCATTAGTCGACCGGCTTGCACGAAGAGATCTATATGATGCTATAAATAGCCGCTCTATACGTACAGACGTCAATTATGAATAAATATATACATACATGTACGTACCTTACAAACATAAATTAACTGGGACGGGGGTTTTAACGGCGTTTAATAAATAATGCGAATAACTTCAATCAGTATACGCAATAAATGAAACTGTAAATTCTCAATCGTTTTGTTTTGATACGCTATATATTGTAATCGAGCGGCTATATATAGGGCAGCATAGCACCAAGAGCTTATAATACCTGTTAGGTATTATTCGCTCTTGATAGCGTATAAATCGTAACAATACCTTGTGGCAATTTATACTATTTATGAGATTAATTAATGATATGTCGTTAGCATACGCAGTGTACATCGCTGACGTCAGCCCAATTTAAATATGAGCTAGAGCTAATCCTAGTTTGATAAACATTTAATTTCCCGCGCGTGGGATCTTAATTCGTTGGCTCAATTTAGCAATTTACGTATACGAACAATTTTCGCTGTAATGCGCTTGTAAGGTACGATTAAGCATGTTCGAATTACACAGCACTGATGGGTGTTAATGCATCCATATGATTATGCCTGCACGAGAAGATGAGAGTAGTATGTGCTTGTAATACTGTAGTGTGTGTGTGTGTGTGTGTGTGTGTGTGTGTGTGTGTGTGTGTGTGTGTGTGTGTGTGTGCGTGTGTGCGTGCTTGCGTGTGGTGTGTGTCCATGTGCGTGTGTGAATATATATTTCAAGTTGTCAAGTTGTATATCATATAAGGATACTATCGTCACATACATTTATGAATTCATGTAGGGTATGGGACAAGGTGGGGTTATATTTTTTATGATTTCTATTCTAAAATGTCTTATTCTATAGGTTTTCCGTTCTGAAATTTCCTGCTACAATGTCAATTTCATATGTATCCAATAAATCCATACTACTAAATTCAATCAAAAAGTCTTAATTGTGTATTTAATTATTTATGGAATGTTTTATTATTCATTTTATGAAACATACTATGGACCAACTGCCCTGAACAATATGCACTCTGCATAAATATTTTCTTGACAAAATTAGCAATGACGACTATAATGAATAAAAATGAACTATAAATAATATGAACTAGAACGAAACACACCGCTACGCTGTAGTACCACGCCATAACTATGATACCAATGCGACCAGCTATCGCGTTGACTACACTAGCATTCAGGGAGCCAAGTCCAAAGCAAATTGCACCACAGCAAAACAAAACGTGATCAATCTAAATCTACATGTAAAACCTCCTATGTACACAACGAACCACGCGTACCACCGCATTGTTGACTTACCTCAAAACCGACGCGAACCAACACCAGCGCCCCCGCTCTACTGTACATCGACGGGGCTCCGAATTCGGCCACACTAATACAATCCTTGCTCACAAACAAGGCAGGGTCTCTCGAACACACAGCAGCACAAAAATTAAACGTACGTATGTAGACACGACACTCACACCAGGTAAAACACGCGCTTATATAAAGTCACAAAAAACGCACACGTATATTATAATAATAATGCCGCACTGGCGACGCCTCACCTCGCGGCTTGCGAGAAATACTCATGCACATGACTATACGAATCGCACAAGGCGGTCTCAACCTCTACGTAAAAACCTGCAGGCGATCCTCCGGCATATCCTGTCTCCACAATCTATTGTCAACGTTCTTCCTTAGTAATCTATTGGTAACACTCTCTCTCCGCTATTTTGGTGATATTCTTTCTCCGTGATTGTTGGCGCTATTCATCCTCTTAGCGATATTCTCTCTCCGCAATCTATTAGTGACATTCTTTCACCGTGATTATTGGTGACATTCTCCCTCTTGGTGACATTCTTCCTCCACGATTCATCGGCAATCTCTTCTCGCGGTGATTCCTTCTCTACATGTCCCCTGCGAGTGACGTACGAGCTTCATATCGGGTTTCCGATCATGTTCTCAAAATCCTCCGGTGAGACGACGATGGCGACCGCCACGTCGTCTTGCATCGGCGGCCGGCCGCCGCCACCGGGGGCGCCACCGCGCATCATCCCGACGGGGAAGCCGCCGCCGTCGTACATGTGGTGCGCGTGTCCGTGTCCGTGACCGTGTCCGTTCTCCGGCTGGTACATCGGCATGCCGTCGCCAGGGGGCGCCACGTTCAAGTACCCGCCGCCGCCTCCGTCGTCGTGCATCATGGCGGCGTGGTTCATCGGCGGCATGCCGTGATTGGGCGGCGGAGCGAGCGCGGGGTGCACGTGGTGCGGCGCCGCGACGCCGTTACCGACGAGGCTGAACGCGCTGTGCGGCTCGCGCGACAGGTGACCCATGCCACCTCCCATCGAGTGCGGGGGCGGCATGGAGTAGGCAAGGCTGGCCTCGATCGCGCTCGCGTGCTGCGACATCGAGAACGCCTGCATGTCGGACGGCGTGTAGCTGACGGGCGGCATGCCGCGCATCATCGCCGGGATGTGGTGGTGGTGCGCGGCCGCCGCCGCCGCCACCGCGTCCATGCTCGGGTACCGACGCGACAGCGGAGTCGGGTTGCTCTGAGCCGCTGCTGCTGCCGCCGCCGCCGCCGCTGCTGCTGCCGCGGCCGGGTCGACCCCGCTCACGCGCAGCGCGTCGGACACCGCGCGCATGTCGCTCGCAGAAACGATCGGCCCTCCGCTGTTTGCGCCACGGTTGCTGCCGCCGCCGCGGCTGCTGCCACCTCCACCTCCGCTGCTACCGCCACCACCGTGGCCGCCACTGCTGCCACCACCACCGCTGTGGCTGCCACTGCCATGGCCACCACTACCGTGGCCGCCACTGCCATGGCCGCCACTACCGTGGCCGCCACTGCCATGGCCACCACTGCCGTGGCCACCACCACCACTGCCGTGGCCGCCACCACCACTGCCGTGGCCACCAGTTGCACTGCCGTGGCCACCAGTTGCACTGCCGTGGCCACCAGTTGCACTGCCGTGGCCGCCACCACCACTGCTGTGGCCGCCACTGCCTCCACTGCTGGCAGCAACACGGTTGCTGCTACTGCTTGGCGGCGGTGGCTCCCGCTGTCGGTGGTTCTCGAGTTCCTGAGCTCTGCCTCCGTCGCCAGACGACCGCTTCGCACTCGTCTTCACCAGCAGGGATTCTCCGGGCTTCACCTGCCCCTCCTCCTCCTCCGCCGCCGCCGCCGCATCCTTCGCGTCGGCTTCCGCGCGGTTGGCCGCGGCGACCGGCTCCGGCTCGGGGAACGCTGCCTGGCTGCGAGGTTCAGCGCCGCTCGCCGCGGGTGCCGTCGTCGCTGCGGGCGGGGCGGGGCGAGCGGGCGCGGCCATCGCGGCACCCTGCATGCTCACCTGCTCGTTGATCTCCTTCTGGTGCATGTTGAGTATGTGCGCGCGCATGTTGCTGCCGTGAGTGAAGCGGCGCTCGCAGATCGGGCACACGTACATCTTCTCTCCCGTGTGCAGCTTCATGTGCTGCTTCAGGTTGCTGCCGCTGCGGAAGCGGCTCTTGCACACCTGCGGGACACGAGAAAGAATGGTGAGCCAGGTGAGGGGGGTACGATTTACCTTACACACCTGTGTGTACGCTAAGCTGGGTAACGTGTGTATGATTTACCTTACACACCTGCGTGTACGCTAAGCTGGGTAACGTGTGTATGATTTACCTTACACACCTGTGTGTACGCTAAGCTGGGTAACGTGTGTATGATTTACCTTACACACCTGCGTGTACGCTAAGCTGGGTAACACGTGTATGATTTACCTTACACACCTGTGCGTACGCTAAGCTGGGTAACACGTGTATGATTTACCTTACACACCTGTGCGTACGCTAAGCTGGGTAACACGTGTATGATTTACCTTACACACCTGTGCGTACGCTAAGCTGGGTAACGCGTGTATGATTTACCTTACACACTTGTGCGTACGCTAAGCTGGGTAACGCGTGTATGATTTACCTTACACACCTGTGCGTACGCTAAGCTGGGTAACACGTGTACGATTTACCTTACACACCTGTGCATACGCTAAGCTGGGTAACGGGTGTATGATTTACCTTACACACCTGTGCGTACGCTAAGCTGGGTAACACGTGTACAATTTACCTTACACACTTGTGCGTACGCTAAGCTGGGTAACACGTGTATGATTTACGTTACACTGACATTTACACTGGAGAACTGAGAGCTTACACGTGTTACCGACACTAACACTGACTTACACACAGGTGTAAAGCCCTTACAGATATAATCAAGACGAACACTGACTTACACACCAGTGTAAGCCCTTACAGATATAACCAAGACTAACACTGACTTACACACCAGTGTAAGCCCTTACAGATATAACCAAGACTAACACTGACTTACACACAGGTGGACTGAAGAGGTTACATGTGCAACTGAGGCTGAGACTGACAACTACACAGGATTAATAAGACCTTACAAATATAACACACAGGTGGACTGAAACCTTACACATGTAACAGACACTAAGCCTGACCAATACGCAGGAGGAAGAGATGCAGTGTTTGCACGAGCAGCTGGTGGCTTCATGAAGCCCTACTCACCTCACACTCGTGCGGTCTGTCGGGCGTGTGCACGATCTTGTGCTGCTTCATGTTGCTGCTCTGCGCAAATCGCTTCCCACAGATGTTACACTCGAATGGCTTCTCACCTAGAGTAGGAGCATAATGCACACTGTCAGCACAAACTATGTACAAGACTGGAGCATAATGCACACTATCAGCACAAACTATGTACAAGACTGGAGCATAAC